CAAGAACGAAGTTAAAGACTGATGAAATTTTTAAGAGGCTCTGCTTTTCAGGTCTTAAAAAAGGTGCCAATAAAACCGAACAATCGAGGGCTTTGGACGCGAGACAGCCGTGAAAAAAGGGAAAGCACCTGTCATAATGATAACGCATGACAAGGAATAAAAATTTTGACATATTCCCCTCTACGCCCTCGCCCTCCCCTCGCCACCCCTAAAACTTCTGCAACCTCTGCGCCTCCCTTCCGCTTTACAAGTTTCCACTGAGCGGGAGGGTGAGTAGTACGAAAGCGTGAGTGATAATTTCCAAAATCCTAGTCAGTTTCCTAAAATTCTCTGTTATCGAAAAATCTCATGACTATTGATAGCTACAATACACCCCCCCCACCCATCCCGGCAATGATGCATGCCTCAACCTGTTGGAAACTACTTTATAAGGAAATAATCAACAACACCAAAGCCTTAAAGACATCTAGAGTCAGATTAAGCACTGTTCTTGGAGCCCAACTTGATTTGCCGGCGCTTGGGAGGGGGGCACTCTGTAGAAAGGCCCCTGGGACTAAGCCTACGCAGCAGGAACGAACTCCGGAAGAATACGAAAATTGCTTCCGCATACCGGAGTTCTTCCCTCTCCAAAAGCTTAGTCCTGAAACTGAGCTTTCTCGTGACCCTGACGCGATGTTCCGTGGTGGCCCCCTTCGAGCAATTTGCCTATCTAATTTATCAGAACATAAGAAATGTGGGGCACAAATTAACGTGTGGGAGATCAGTTGAGATTTCTAATACTGCGATTGAAGTGCTCCTACTCCAATTTGCAATTCCAATTCACAATCGTTCGAAAAATTTGTAGTGGAGCGCGTTATTAGATGCTTCCCGTGTTTTTGGCAATTTCAATCTCCTAATCGGTGCAACGTTTAGATTCATCGAAAGAGGTGGGTTCGCCGCTATATTTGTAATAAAAATGGTCTATTCCAGTTAGGGGGGCATCATGATGCAGTTTCTCGGCGAACTAGTGTGAACTCGAACATTCCAGCTTTTCACGCATGTCAAGTGACTGCCCTCACCCCCGAATGTGGTTCTCTAGGA